TTTGAGCTTGAGGGAAATAAGATGGGGGGATTTAACAATTTATTTTATTCCTAAAATGAAAGCACCACAAGAAAAAGAGACATGGTGGAGCGGCCATGCGAATTCTAGCGAGCCTGACTATGGAATCTGGGCTGCAAAGGATAGCTATCACAAACCAGAGGTGTATACACTACATTCTTCCTCATGTTTGAAATAAAGAAATAAATAAAGGGTAGACATCAAACATGGGATTTACTTATCCAAACCTTTAGACAACTAAAATTAAGAATCTGGGTTGCCCTAGTTCCCAAAGTCAAAATATGCAATTTCTGAAAACAAATCATTCCACCCTAACACCTGTCCAAGAAACAGGGAATGAATCACACACTGGAGATCTCTCCCTCCCCCAGCTGACCACAGGGGGTGATTAGATATCCAACTATGCGATAGCTAACGTTAGCTGAAGTAAATCCACAGAGCAAATCATTCTAAGCAGCAGGTTGAGAGGCAACACATACATCTCCTCTCTTACAAACTTTCCCAAGTAAGTCCCCACGATGCTTGGCATTCCATTTGTGACAACAGATGCAGCAGCTTGCAAAGATGAGAGACCAAAGTCCTAGTACAACACAGATCTCTTGGTAATCATCCATTGATCTTAACTAAGAATTCAACTGGTCCAGAAATGAACTGGTTGTTTACAGCTTCAAGTTAGATTTACTCTATGAATTAACTGCATTTAATTTATTAATTCTGTTTAGGCCCCAAGGTGGGGGGGGGGGGGAAGGGCAGGAAGGGAGGGCAAGGAGGCAAGTTCATTTCATAGATTTCATCATTCATAATCTTTTAAAATAACGTTGGAATCCAAACGTCATCTGATTAAAACTAGGAAGGCTGAAAAACATGTAAAAAACATTGCATAATAAGACAAACAGGACAGCATGCATGAGGAGTTTTAAGCTGTATCAGCTTAACCATAGCATAGCTTTTCAAGAAAAAGGTTCAACTCATCCTCTATGACGGCCTAAAGCTAGGCTACAGAAAACAATAAATTGCTCCTTTCTTGCTAGTGTTTTTCCTCTTGTCATTGTTACAAACTAAGTATCTGATTAAGAGCAGCCTGCTTGCTCACAGTGTCTTCCAACCGCACATGCGACTTAGGGCAGTCTTTCAGTGACAGAGCCAATGCATGACGCATTATTAAGATGAACAATGTGTTATGATCTGTCTGAAGCACTCTTGTATTGATTGTAATAAAATGAGAGTGTTTGGGGGTTTTTTTGAACCAGTATGCTCCTTGTGAACTCAACAGAACATACTGTTTTCAAATAAAATTGAGAAAAAATGATTTCAAATTCTAGGTTGGAACCACAGATATTTCATTTAACACAATATTCATTAACCTCAGCCCTTTTAAAGTATACTTTCTGGTAATAAAGCTCAATAGTACTAGATTATACATGTGCCACACACCTTTGTTAGACATAAAAAAGGACTGCATTTTGCATAAAACTATGCATCTGGTCATTTCCTCGTTTCTTTCATGCACATAAAAACATGCACACAATTAATCTCAAAAAATACACCATCTTGTTTGCAAACTCAAAAGGAAGTGACAACAAAGTTTCTCTCAGTGGGTTGCCTGCTAGCATAAAAGGAATGCCTCCTACTGAAGATTGGGGGCTGGGGGTGGGGGGTGGTGTGTGTATCTCTTTAGTACTAGCCAGGAAGCATTCAGATATAATTACCACCACAATCAATACAACACACTGTAGAAAAGCACGCAAGTCATCATCACTGTAAAAAGGTAAAGTGATTTGACCAAAACCATCTTGTAAACTGTGGCAGGCCACAAGCCAAGAATTCATAATTCCCAGGCTCAAGCTCAAGTTCCAGCATCATGCTTCCCCTCCACAAAATACTTCTTTCTGCAGTCCATATTGCCCACCTAGACTGCAGCACTGCTAAGCCTGCCCCAAACTGCCTACCACAGAAGTCAGCATACAGATGCATGACTCTTGCACAGCATGCCCATAGGCTACATGACATAAACTAACAGAAAATGAGGAAAGAGGGAAGCAGAGAAGTACCATACGGGCAGAGCCAACACACATGCTCTTATTCCATTTCCAGCACCCAGAAAATACATGCAGGGAACGATTATCCTTCAACATTTGCAGAAGTGCGGATACCCAGCAGTGTAAGATGTTCAACATGGCAGCTACATACTTGTGCATTCAAACTTTTCCATTCTTGGCCAATACCAGTACCAGTGTTTCCTTTTCCATACTGTTCTTTTGGAACACAAGGCATGCATACTTTCATTCTCTCTGAACTTCTCTTACCTGGAAATCTCTTTTCAGTCTAATACTTTTCTTGCCATGAAAATGTCTTTTTAAAAATACATACTTTAATAAGCATTTTATATGAAGGCACCTTTTATTCCTTCTCATTTCCAGGACACTTGATAAAATATTACAAGCCTGCAATTTATATGCTAGAATCCCCAGATGGCATCTAATTAAACAATTCAATCAGAAAACAAATTAAAATGCAGTATTAGTGTAACCCCATGTGTAAAATGCAGCAGTTAGAGCGCTCTGGTGTTTGCAGGATATCCTATGGAAGGCAATTCTATTACCCATGCTAATTTCATGCCTGTTCAGCACTGCAGAACACGAGCTATTGACACCTCTCTCCAACATAAAAAAAGAAGTGGGCCAAGGAAAAGTTTAATAGCAAAGTACAGATCACCCTTTTAACTTTCTTCAGAACTATTATGGCAGCTGGTTTACCCAATTTACGGCAATGAATCTCAAACCTGTAATTTCTTAAACCTTCAAGCTCATCCCAAACCTAGTCAAACTTGGGATATTCCTTCCAATTAACTTCAGTGAGTTTTGCACCATGACCCACAATTCATAGAATCATAGAACTCACTGCATCTCACAGCGCTAAGCAAAATCTGATAAAAGTAACATCTTACTCTGCAATCTCTGCCACATGAATTCCTTGTGAACCCCAGGTATTACAATTTGGCAAATAAAAGCACAGGGATAATGATCCGTGATTTTTATTTTATTTCTCTGTTCATCTTTAAGAGTAAGAGGTTTCAGTAAGGTATGAGAACTTTGTAAACTTTATTTTCTTCCCTTAAATATATTTTAGTACTTATAACCAAACTGTTCACTTCATTATTTTTAGAAGACTTTCTTCAACTTCCATACGAATGTTATTTAAGGAAAATATCTTCCATTATGGTTTATGCACAGTCACAAAAAGTCACAAAATCGCAAGTTTATGCTCTAATCCATGTTATATGCTCTCCCCTGATTTAAATACAGCTTTCTCTACTTCTCTGAGAAGAACCACTGACCAAAGGAACATGCCGATATGGGCATTGTTATTTTCCTTGAAAAGAAGTAAGAGTATTGCATCTTCACACCAACAAACCTGAAGGAGTTATGTTCCAACCTCATATGGAAAATCAGTTAATGTCATGTATCTAACTCTTAAGAACGCCTTCTGAAAAATCCCTGCCTTCATACATGCTTCCACAGTGCACTCCACTGGCACACAGACAAGAATATACTTCCTATTTAAAATCTATTTCAGGAATCAAGAAAAACTTAAGGGCAGCACGAGAGAACATAAAACTTGCAGGAGCTGCTATAACTCATCCTCCAAAAAAAAAAAAAAAAAAAAAAAAAAAAAGTATTTTACTAATTTACCCAAGATGAGAAGACTATCTGAGAATTAAAGGCATATGCAAACTGAACCATGATGTGTCATATTTAATAAGACACTAATACAAGTCGCAGCAAGGTAGCTGGGCTTTAATGGTACTGCAAACTTAAGAGTATTGACAAGCAGGGGAAGCCCAATTCATACAGGATTAGCTACCCTGCCTGCTCCACCTTTCTTTATATTCCCAGAAGACCAGTTGGCCACAGCTGCCTGGAAGCGAGCAAGATTTTGTGCACTGGTGATAGGTATCCTTTACCAGACAGTTTGCTCTCCCTTTTCCAATTTAGGACAGACTAGAATTGGGATTTGAACATTCAGTAGAGGTTACACAGAAGCAGAGAAAGATGGTCCCTGTAGATTTTGTAAGATCTCTCACCTACCCCCACCCTCAGCCTCCTTACTATCCAACCCTCTTAGCAGACTGAGGGGAATGACTGTGTGATGCCATGCAGATGATGGAAATGTAAAGGAAGACACTAAAGATCACCCAGCAAAGCAAAGTCATGTAAAATCCCAAACTCCCAGGAAATAATCATATTCTCCCCTGCTGCTTGCCCACTTCAACCCTTCTCCCAGAGCTCCCGTTAAGAGGAGATCAAAATTAATAAGGCATTACACAAATGAGAGATTGCCCCAGTTATAATCCCAAGCGGGTCCCATCACTACAGCAGCACTAAGGGAAAACCTTGAGCACACCCGGGCACACACAGACTCTCAGCACGGATTAGCAGTCAGGCTTACAGGGGGAGGAGAACAAAAATTCCCCTCGCAGCGACCCATTTTGGAAAAGAGAAATAACGAATACGAAACGATGACGGTAACAGCACGACGGGAAGA